CGGCAACCCCTTAAAGCGGTCATGATTGCGGGGGAGGAGATCGACGGTTAAAGTTGGCGTACCTCCGTCTCCCGTTTGACTTTGAACGGGGAACGTTGGGCGCGCTCGTAGACCGTGCACATCTCTAAAATACATTCCTCGTCTGGTTTGTACGTCATGTGCAATAGCTTGAGGTGCGCACACTCGACGGCCAACAGGCTCCTCTCGCTCACACTGCGAGTTTACAAACCTAATCCGTTGCTGTGTATAGACTTGTAGGGCACCACTAGTACAATGAACTGTAGTATACTTCAATAGAATACTTCGAAAGAGCGAGAGAAAGAACGACAGTAACAGAAAAGGATATCGTGAGAAGAACTACCACAAAAAAAAAACACTAGAGGAGAGGAAGAAGCGACAACAAAAACTATATTTATTTAAATTTTCGCTCGGATCTTGAAGACTTCGTAGCCAGTGAGAATTTATCTGCAAATTTAGCTTTTATTGTTTACAACCGAATCACTTGATCCTCTTTTTGTTTTAGTTCGTCTTTTGTTTATCTCTTTTTAATTCTGCCTCTGCCTCTATTTCCTTTGTTGTTTTCCTTTAATCAAGAGTTGTGCGATTCGTATATTACACAATCGGCCCGGACTGATAGCGCGGTGCGTACGAATGTATTCGAAGAGATATCGCGAGCGATATTTATTTTTAAGTGCGACAGCGGAAGGAGCCTGGACAAAAGGATTCGCCTGATCCCTGTGATTGGAAAAGGACCTGACCTCGCGTCTTATCGGATATCAATTGGATAAGGTAAACAAGCAACTATAAGTTTATAACTTGGATAGTTTGATTGAAGCAGTACATACAGGCTGTTATGTAGGTGTGTGGATGTTTTTCGTTTTCTTTTCGGTGTCGAGTTGAAGGATTTTCGTTATTTCTAGCCGAGCCGGACTGTGACTCTCTTGAGTGTTGAAAGTTGCACACACTCGAAGCAGATTTTACATTCTATTCCGCGCTAATTCCGACCGTAATGAACGTTTGCATAAGACGACGTTTGCGGATCACTCTGTTGTATATTACGTTGGCTAAGAAATTGATAATGTAACGCTCGTTTTATTTATTTTTTGTACGGTATAGATCTTCCACATTTATAGCAGTTTACTAAACTCTATACGCGTCAACAGGTTTCCGGCGTGGTTATATGTATTTTTATTTTATTTGTGACACGCACATTGTTTCGCCGTCTCCAAATTCCGCCACCCCTTTTATATACAAATATCTTTGTATCAATCTCTTTAGATCTAACATTTAACAATTTTATCTTTATGAAATATGCATAAACAGTAATCCAATTTTATACAACCTGTGACCATAAATACTCTTTTCAACATAAATATCTTCTATTCATAGAATCTTACTTGATTCAAATAGAACAATTTGCAAATTTCATTTCTATAATTTAAAGAAGTATAGTAGACATTTACAAAGCTTCATTACATACCGAACTTTAATTTTATAAAAAGAATTAATTTTATTTTTATTGTAAACTTCTTTATAGAAAAGTACCTTTGGTAAATATATCATACCTATGTTTCATTAAATTTGTTTTAAAGTAGATTTTGTAATTTTTTTATTGATAAAAAAAATTTAAAGTTTATATTTACTTATATAAAAGTGCTTAAACACTTTCTCTAGTGCAAATATGTGAAATCCATACATATTAACAATAATCAGATTTACTTTGTTGTCCATAAATTCATAATAACAATCATATTTATTGTAACATTCATAAAAATAAATTATTATTTTTAATATAAAAATCAAGTTAAATTTTATTTAGTAATACAATGGAGAAGTGCACAATAATATTGCTTTTTCTCATTATAAATAGTTCATGTTAGTTTGTTTTAATTTTTTGATAGGTTTACCGGTTAATAAACAAACCTACGGAAACATTTATAGTTCACACTAGTATGCTAATTTGCACAATCACATGTCATTATTAGTTGCATGTTGCCAACACTTTACTTGTTTTACCAAAAATACTTAGTAATAATATTCCAAGCAATAATATTCTGCAGAATATATTCGAAAGCCCACTAACATAGAACCAATAAAAAAACGATGTATTTTTCATGATTATAATTAGAAACAATGATCATATCTATAGTTAGATAAATTATTATCACAACAAGATTAATGTTTCAATCTATACATTACACAGAAAAGAAAATACAATTAAAAATAATAATAAACAAAATGTATTTTATAATAACATACAAATGACTATTGAATCAATTAAAATTATTGTTTAACAATAACAAAGCAATATTGTTGAAGAACAATTGTTTACAAGAATAATGTATTATTAGGTAACTGAGTTAGTCACGACAGAGAATACGTTGTGGATTAATTGTATGTAACCTCAATACACTAAACGAAAATAGAGTTGTTTTAAAAATAAAATTAAGTTTATTCTAAAAATTAACATTTACGAAACGTTTATAATTCACATTGTATTATTAGGTCTTTTTTTTGAAAACTGAATTTAGTCAAATGATTTCATTCCCTTTCAAGGTAAGATTAGTGCATATTTTAAAATTAACTATTGTCACGTTTGATATAAAATAAATGTAGTAATTTTTAGTTTAAAGTAGAATTATTGTGACTAAAAAATGAACAAATTTTCAAAATCTGTTGTTAAATATTTCCTAACAACGGTGCGTTTATTGTACGTGGTAAGTGAATGTACCGGAAAATACAAGATAATAATGTTTGAAATTTTATTAATAAGTTACCGGGTTTGTATTTTGATAAGGAAAGTAAATATGCTGTAAAAAAATGCTACAGAAAGAAGCTTATTCATTATATTCTTATTCTGCTCTTGGAGGGGTTATGTATGGTTTAATTGTGTTTGATTTTAGGATAAAATCAATACCATTTGACAATTGAATGTGTCGGTTCCCCTACAAACATGACTATCTTGCAACACCCAGAGGGGTGGTACTACAATAAAGCAACTATATTTGATGTAAAATATACGACGCACATATTTCAAGCAATATTTCTAACTTAATATTTTGGTCAGAATTCGTAAACTAAGAATTATTTGTAATTAACATGTGATTTTTTTGTAATAGAAAATATACTGGCTTGCAAAATTTGAAAGTTTAATATACTGATTATTTATTTCTTTGAATTTTACACGAAAATGTCATATTCCTTATTAATAGTGAACGTGCATACACGATTGAATACCGTTTAAATAAATGAATGAATTTGAAATTCAAATTTTAAACTGATTATAATCATTACCCGATACTGCCCCGAGTATGAATATGTGGTGGCTCTGTTATTAAAGCGTGTGCCAAGCAATTGGTATTTCGATTTCGTTGGCAATACATATATAAAAATATAAATTGCAAAACGCATCATGCAAATGCGCTAATCAATGAAGATCATATTTACAGATATTTTGCTGATGTTAAGAAACTCCATGTGCTAAGTAGAAGCACTCGTAATTGAAATGAGGGAAGCGGTGGAGACGTGAACAATATTTATTTAGTTTACCAACGGACGAGTCTCCAATCAACGTTGAATAAATATTTTCGACGAGTTTGCTTTTAATCTTTTATTAGCTGAAATTGGTTTCTCTGCTGCAAGGGATTTAGTTACATGTTTTTTTCGTAAATTTGTGAAAAACATCTGTATTTCTGCGAGAAATACAGTTTTAAATTCGATAATAAATAAGCGCATGCAATAAAACTATAATATAAATATATTAAACCTTGAATTTTGGATTTGGGAGATAACGTATTGTTTTTAAGAAATATATTTGTTTTGTCCGGAAAGACTGCGGTCAATAATCTATTATACAGTGGAACCTCACTTAACGAGCAAAATTAATTGTAAGAAAAACTATTCGCTTAACGAGCTACGTTTCGCAAAACGAGCGACGATGAGAAGAGAAGTCCCGGATTGCGAGCCTGCTACATAATTTTTAAAATTTGTGTACACATATTATGTGTATTTTTGAATATGTTTCACTATGCGAGTAAAAATCCGGAAATTTTGGAACGGATTAAACTCGTTAAGCGAGGTTCAACTGTATATGTGTTTTCATGTATGCATTAAAATTCATTTTCATAATTATTGAGATTCCGATATTTTATAATTAGTATAACTAAATCTTTCTTCAATTAATTGTTGGTGAACTGCAACGATGATAAGTATGTTGTGAAAGTTGCTATAGCATATTAATGCAGTAAGACTTCGTTATTCTCGAGGCTTGTAAGAAATAATATATTGTTTTTCTTTTGCAAGGCATTTTAAAATGTAATTGTAAATGCACAAGTGGCGCGCGTTTCTGTAGTGTGGAAAGAACCCAAATAGCGATGACTCGTTATCATAATGTGTCGAGTCTTGTCGTTGGGAACGAGGCAAACTTGAATGATTCAAATTAAGACGCAGAAGTATGATAGTTCTACGGATAACTAAAACCAAAACAAACTCTATGCCGAAAACTATTTTTCCGTCCACAGTGACACACTAACTCGCATTATGCAAAACAACCTTGAAATAAATTATTATTATTAAACGGTGAGCAGTGAGCAGATCACTGCTCCACCCGAAATTTTTAGCATCGCCGAGAAAACATGGGACGGACGGCGATTTGAAAATCGAAAGTTTGTGTGGGGAAATTTCAAAAATGGAAATGCTGTGCGCGAGAGTTTCGCACATAGCGACCAGCAACAGAGACAAATTTTAAATATAAAACGCGTTTAACCTTGCGAGGCAGCCTGCTGTAACCTTCGTCAGAGCGTAGCTGCTGCCTTCCCATGTATTCAAAACGTGTTTCGAATTGCGAAAAAAAAATAATAATATGATTAATCCGAAAAATTGGTTACAAATGCATCCCGATTTTGATCCAGCTTATCCCAGAATAGATTAGCTTTTTGGAGGTTACACCCATATTTCGGTGGGGGCGGCGCACGCGTCTCGATAACCATTTGAAAACTGAGCAAAAGCATCTTGGAAAGTATAGCTATAAACATTGAAAACATGCACCTTTTCCTATAAAGGGTTGTGTAGGTCGAAGAACGACCATTTTCCGGGGATTAGTATCAATTATCGAACGGATTGAGGCGGCGCGTGTTGGCCTTAATTACAAAAGTTTCATCATAAATAAAGTGAAAATGGCGTGGAAAGCGGGTGAAGATATCTAGCACGAAAGTATAAAAAATATACAAAGAATATAATAGTAATAATAATAAATATTGCAATAATAGCAGTTTGTTGTAAAACTGATAAAGCTTTCTGCGCTCGTCGCGAACTGACTGGCTAACTTGACGTCAGGACATTTTAATGTAAAAATAGTGCATAATCCTTGTATGAGTAATAGAGAATGCTCTGAAGCCCCCGCTTTTGCTTCGATTGGCAAGTAAGAATTGGAAACAGTTATGTTTTGCGCGTACTCAGTCCGTCCGTCCGTGCGCTTTCGTCCGGGTTTAATTGAAATCGCGAGTGCCGTGGAATCCATGTGATTTATCAGTTTGTTATTTGCGTCTTGAATCAAAATAACGCACACTCGCTATTCAACGAGCCGTATAGATTTGAACCTTTCTCCGATGATCTTTTGACTAGAGCAGACGCAATAATCATGGCTCCTGCAAATAGCAAGTACATTAACGACATTTTTCGAGCGATTAACTAATTTCGATTCTCTTCTATTTTGCAGATCAAGATGTCCGTGGAAAGTACTTCGGCGCTAACTAGTCAAGAGGAAACAGAGATGGGTGGAACCAATTCAAAGGACCAAAATGTGGACGAGCTGCCCTCGTCGACATCGCCGTCATCTTCATCACCATCATTATCAACATCGGACGCATTATTGGACGTTGTTAAGTCAGTTTTTCTCGAGTCTCCATCGAGTTCAAATGAACGAAGCGACTACGGTGATTCCAATTTATACACGGAGCAACAGACGAATGAAGCAGTTGCTAGTTGCAATACCAATGATGGCGAGGACTCCGCCACAGAGTCGCTCCCGACGGTTGAGGAATTAACGGAAGAGCCGCACGATAGGTCAGACGGGTCAGACTCCGGGTTGGGATCGGAGCTGTGCGACGAAAGGGCTGTCGTTACCACAACGAGTACAACGGCTCTGGGCGAGAGCGAGAGCGACATCTCGTTCCTGGATAGAATTCACGAGAGCTCGACGGCAGAATTTGAGATGCCAACGACAAATTACCAAGAACCCAAGTCGAGCAGCGAAGTTTTGGAGCACAGCGACATTAAGATAATTGGTGCTATATTGGAGGAAGTCCAAAAAGAAACGAACGCGATCGGCGATTGTGAGCCTAAGAGAAGCAGCCTGAAGAGAAAATTCGATGAGATTGAGGTGGAGCCCGAAGAAATTAGCCTGGAGCCAAATCTCAAGAAGAAGAAGGGTATTACATTTGCCGGCGTCACCGTTTATTATTTTCCAAGGGCGCAAGGATTCACCTGCGTGCCGAGTCAGGGAGGTAGCACCTTGGGCATGGGTCCTCAACACTCGCACACCAAGAAGTTTTCTTTAACAGAACATGCCGTGGAGCAGCGCAGGTTGCATCGGCAGCTGCTGCAGCAATTGAGAATGGAAAGGCAAGTGGCGAGTAACACAGTTTCTTCAAGTGATGACAGCGATAGCGAAGAAGAACCCAGCGATGCCTCAGAATCAGAGCTGGACTTGGAAAACTACTATTTCCTGCAGCCAGTTCCGACGCGACAGAGAAGGTCTTTGCTGCGGGCTGCCGGAGTGAGGAAAATTGATGCGTTGGAGAAGGACGAGTGCCGCGATATCAGGACATCCAGGGAGTTCTGTGGATGCGGTTGCAAGGGATATTGCGATCCGGACACGTGCTCCTGCAGTCAGGCAGGAATAAAATGTCAAGTTGACAGACTGAATTTCCCATGCGGATGTTCGCGCGATAATTGCGGTAATTCCAGCGGGCGAATCGAGTTTAATCCTGTAAGGGTACGCACACATTTTATACATACGCTGATGCGTTTAGAGTTAGAGAAGAAGCAGAAGTCTGAGGAGGAGGCGGCCGATAAGAAGTGGATGGAAAGTGAGCGGTTGGCTTACAAGAAGGAGGATGGTCCGACGAAGACGACGGGAAAGTATAACAGCAGTTTACTAAGAGACGTCAATTTAAATTCGCACGTCGAAGTGGAGAGCTGTGTGCATGACGGAAGTTTCACGAATCTCCATTACGGTGCACCGGGCGAAGGTCCTGGGCACATTTCCCATTCGCCTCCTGCTAATTTCTCCAATTTACCCACACGCGAAGATTCCTTGGATCTGTACACGTTTCGAGAAGAGTGCTATAGGGAGGAGGAGGAACAGCGTCGCGAGAGTCCCGATAATAGGAAGCATTTCCAGCCGCCCCCGCCGCCTCCGCTGCCTCCACCACCCCCGAACCATGGGTTCCACTTTTCCACCGACCCCCGTTACACTGATGTCGGTTTCCCGGCCGGCGCTCCCCCTTACACCGCCTCTCCTTCCAATCAATACACACAACCGTACCAACCAGGCTTCACCGACTTCGCCCCCGTCTTCACCCCCTACTATACCCAAGAGTTTGCTTCCAAAACTCATCACGATGCGAACTTCCAGCATAGCAATTTTGATCATTTCGCAACCCAGGATAACTACACTCCTTCAACCGATACCAAGGAGAACCAGTACACCAGCTTGAACCCAGTTGCACCCAACAGTGCAAAAATGGAATCCTTTTCAGATCTCCTTCACGGACGTTACTACTCCGAATATGATGTTAACGCCGAAAGTTTTGCAAATTTAGCAACGGCGGCGGAGGCATCCACCAACTGCATGGATATCGAAAAGTGTGACTCCAGCACAACAGTAGCGAACGCAGACGACAGCGACGAGAATTTTGGAGAGATTATTAAAAAGTCAATGGTTGAAACGGTCTCAGCTTAAGTAAAATTATAAATATACATAAATATTAAAATATTATTATTATTATAAATACTATATTATATTAACTAATAAGTAATACGTTCCATATTATGATTATATTGATTATTATTATTATAATGTAAAAAATGATTTATATATATAAAACAAATTGTAGGAGAAATGATAGATAAATTGTTTTAATAAATGTTGTGAAAATTATTTATTAAATAATATTCGAATCACAAAACATATTTAATTCCATCCAATGGAGCACCGGTTCTTAACTTGGATCTCAAAATGTAGTACATCCCTAAACACGCACGAAAAATGGGTCAATAATCATTGGCTAATCACTAATCATTTCTACACCTTCATTGAATCTGTACTCCATTTAAATTTATAATCACTGATTAGTTTAATTATTTAATATTCGTAAATATAATTAATTGAACAGTTCCAGTTAAGAACCAACACAAATATTACAACCGAATTATAAATTTAGACTTGCATTATTCGTACAATTATAAATTGCTATTAACATACATTTTATCTCTAGTAAATAATCTCTAGAAAATGATAACTAAAACAAATAAAGCTATACTCATAATTAAGAGATGAGACATATTACTAAACGACGAATTATTAATTAGAAACTACGTAATCTTCAATAACATTATACAACAAATATATTCAATACAACTGCTGGTAGATATAAAAGGGTTAAATACGACTTTATGCAACCAATGTTGCTCGAAGTAACGCCCTGGAGGTAGCTTATATACATGTGCTTGCGAGTAAATCAATAATTCTACATTCATACATATCTTGCATTTCCTGTTGAATATATCCAATAAATAAGCAATTATCAAATAATAAAAAAAAAACTAAAGCATTTTCTTCTTTAACCTGTCCCAAAAAGCCGCAAAGGTAAGAACAATTACTAGTATCATCATTCTTTGTTTACATTTCATAAAATAAAAATAATAGATGATAACGTTGAAATTACATTCTTGCAAATACGTATACAGAATACGTATACATAATCTAAGACTGATCTAAGACACGATTTTCTATTGGATGATTGATCCAAGGCCACACACATAATGCCAAATTGTTGTTTGTTTTTAGACGTTAACTCCACAGATGAAAAACATGTTTAGTCCTCTAAAGAGGAAATTACGTGAAAAGCGTATAATATTGGCTACGCAGTCAATACAACGCAAAGAATTATTTAATTCAACTGTAAGTATGAATTGATTTAATTTTTATTAGATTTTTACTGAAAACTTTTTTTTATACACAAATAATAATATAGCTTATTAATATAATCGTCCAAATAGATAATTTATAAACTGTATTTAGTTATAAATACAATCTCATGTTTACTGATAATTGTGACTGAATTTAACAAATATTTTTGTTATTGTGTAGGTTATGTTATCAAAGTTCATATTATTTATTGGTATTGATTTTGTTAAATATTATTTTCTACTTAATTTAATATATACTCTTTATGTAAACAAATATATTTTGTTAGTACATTTTATTAAAGCGTAAAAATTAATGAGTTTTTTTATTGTTTATAGGGTTTAAAATTTGAAACAATACCTTCAGATTATGAAGAGGATCTCGACAAATCTAGGTATTCATTTTCCGACTATGTTCAAGAGACTGCCCTTCGTAAAGTGCAAAGCGTCTACGAACGGCTAAAAGATGATGAACGACATCCAGACATTATAATTGGAATGGACACGATGGTTGCCTGTGATGGGATTTTCTATGGAAAACCGAAAGATCCGGAAGAAGCGGCGCAGTTTATCAGGAAGTAAAATTATTCGCATAATCAACGCCATTAATTTTAAAATTCTACAAATTTTAGATTAGCTAATTCTGGTCTTCCGCATATGGTCTACACAGGTGTCGTAATTAAGCACAACAATAAGTACGAGAGATTTGTAGAAACCACTACAGTCTATATGAGATCACTCAGTGAAGAGGATATCATGTCTTATGTGGAGACTGGAGAGCCAATGTTTGTTTTTGAAAATTAATTGTAAATTAATATATATTCACTGAATGTTTTTTTTTTGTATTTTAGGGGCAAAGCTGGTGCTTATGCCATTCAGGGTTTAGGTGGATCATTTGTTAGGGGAATCTTGGGTGATTTCAACAACGTCATTGGGTTACCATTATGCTCTATTACTCAGCGTCTAACAAAGATGTTCGAATCGGAATAAATTTCGTTTACTTAACTCAAATAATACAACTGTTAGAACCAAAAAAAAATAAAATATTAGTCGAATTTTATTTTAATAAATGGATTATATATAAAGTAATATATAAATAAATATTTAAAGGACTAAATTCCAATTATTTGTATTCCTATATTTATCACATAACTAGATTCGTTTTAAATAGCTGAATTTGAAAATTATGACTATAATAATAGAAACTATTAAATGATTTATTTAGCTTACAAGAATTCATTAGTTAATACTTAAGAGTTAAATTGAACTGATAAGTTGAGATTTTAGTAACTAAAAATTTGATGGATTTCTGAAATGGTCAAATGTCCACATCCATACCAAAATCATCTGCAGCGTTTTCTTCTTCGCGCGCATTCACCCCGCCGTAATTAATATTTTCCCAAACTTCATTAATGATGCGATTTGGACTTGGTTCATTCTGGACGTATCTCACGATGTCTCGAAGCTTGAAACGATTATTCAAATTCACATTTCCAATTGTGGCAGTTTCGTGCACCTCGTATTCTTCCAACGCAGAAAACAGGGCTTTCATTTGTTTGGGGGTCATGGGACCTGTATAATTGCATTTCTTCATCACCGATCCGTGTCTATCATCCTTTGATATGAGACGGAAAAATTTGCAGGACATGAATCTAGAACTGAATCGTCTAAAAAATTTCTATGATTTTAAATTGGTATCGCAAGTCCAGGAAAGGCTACCTGCTTTGGCTGAAGTTATAACTGGACAATTTCGGACATCGCGTAACTAGATGGCAGAGCGGGTTACTGTGGAGACGGTAATTACTACGCGAACCCCAACAATTTTGTAATTTTATTGATTCTAGATTCTTGCAACATTTGGACACCTCCTCTGCCAAACTGTTAATGTCATGCCTATGTCTGAGTGATAAGTATTTCAAAAGTTTGGCAGATTTGATCCACTGCTTGAGGGTGGTCGTTGGCACTTCGTTCTCCACTTCGATCGACTTCCATAGAATTGGAGACATGGCAAGGTCTTTGTATCGTTTGCATACTGGACGAATGTTGTAGAATAGTTCTTTAACTGGGATATACGAAAATATCTTTAGTAAAACTTCATTTGGCAAATCGTTCAGCTGCGTTGGATTGTCAGAGATCAAGTAGTTCCTGTTGCGTGTTTTCCTATTCGACCGTCGTAATCTTTGAAACTGTATTGGTTTCACTTTAGCCACTACCATTTTTAATAACAGTAAATTTATCACATTTCTTATTACATCTGTCACAGGAATCAATTTTTGACGTTTTATCATCGACATTTGAACAAATTGATTTAAACATTTTGCAATTACCTCTCTGTACAACAACTCTTTTGTTGCAAATACGAGTTCTTGATTTTCCCCTGTTTCATAATAATTGTCAATTATATTTTAATAATATAAAAATACATCATATAAATACATACAATAAGTTTTTTGAACACTTTGACCATTTGTTACAAAATTAAAATAAACAACATGTAATGCTTGAAACTTTTTCAAAGTTCTGAAAATATCAAAGCCTAAACGTAATTATATTTATAGTTTGTATTATTACGCTTTCACAAACAAGAAAATATAAGAGAAGTAATTAAAAGTAAATCTGATTTTACATGAATTAAATGATATAGCTCTTCTCAAGAAATAAAACGTTCTTGAAAATACATCTTCAACATGAAAATTGTATTTGTAAGTTTGGTTGCCTATATTAAATATTCTATTGAACTTTTATATAAACGTATATTTTGTATGAATTTTATATCACCACACAAATAATATACATATTTATTATAAATATTACAATAAAAATATGTTTACATTTACTGAATTATCGTTGCTTCACGGAAATAATTATTTACACATTATATCTTTTCACTCATGTCACCACAATGTCTATATTTGCTATTGCTACTTTGAGATTCTTTGATTAGTAAGAATACTTTACAAGTAGCAAAATTTATTCGAAATAATTATATTGAAATATAATAAATCATTTAAATAAATTAAGAAAGAAATTGTAATTTATGTAACTTCCATTAGCGGAAATATTACAAAAGTAATGTTTTTTTTACTGATATAAACAGATTTACTCTTTTGTTAGGAATTGATAAATGTTAATAGAAAAAAACGTTAGCATTGAAGACGTGATTCACGAAACAAATAATCGTACGTGCAGTTGTTAGCGTTCACAAGAAAATTACATCTTCATTACACACAAATCATTGCCTTACAAGGATTACCCTCATCAAATTCAATTATTAACGGAAGAGTACAAGCGATTACAGCAAACAAATGTTGATAATTCATTGTATGCGACTGGATGTTTGTCAAGGTAGCAGTACATTTTTGGATGTGCTTAAACAGGAAATTGTAGAACGTTTCCTATTCTCTTTTTTTCTCATCTTCATCTTCAAGAAGTAGCGTCAAGAAGTTTATTACCATGCTATAAATTCCGCTCACGGAAGTTTGGATTTATCTGTTTCGGTACACTTTGTCTACGACGTTTGTCTCATCTCGCCGTTGTTTAATCTTCACGCGCCGTAAAATTACAAACTTATATTCAAGCAAATTAAGGTTCATTATAAATGCAATATGCAAAACGACTGAGCATAATCATAATTATGAAGTCTATTACGTTCAGTACGATAAGTCAAATTATCTAATAAATAACAATCATTAGCGGCATCATTGGAATATGATTGATTGATTCTCAATTATTTTAAATAATTATGTCTAAATTAAATAATAAATGTTCATATCTTTTAAATTTACGCAAAAAAATTATATTTTATATATAAATTTTTCTAAAAATTATCTAATACATCTATAAAGTGGTTTCCTCCTATCGTCCGAAAATAGGGAAGAGCTTAGAAGATCTTTGAAAATATAAAAAAATGTTACAGATTAATTTCTATATGAAATTCATATAGTCACTTTTAAACCAATGAAACTTAATAGTCTTGTTACGTTTGAAGAATTTTTTAAAGCTGATTTCATATTTCAGAAGATGATTTGTCGCTCTATCTGTTGACACACGCATCTGCCACGGAAAGCACAGAAAAAAAGCTCTTGCGTAAAAATAACTTGACGTCAACAATTTTTGCCATCTACTTGACACATTGCGTGCACATGCTATGCCTTTTTTCACCATTTCCTACACATTGAACCGTAACTTAAGCAACGCGATTTCCCCACACGCCCTCAGCGAATTAACTTTGATAGATTGGATGTCGCCTCATAAATTGGGATTAAATACGAATAAGAAGATGTACAAAAAAAAGTTTCACATGTTGCTGGAGAAATTCAATATATAATATAATACTAATTCACAAGATGCACGAAAGTGTTATTATATAAATCAAACAGAAAGGAAAATTATCATTAAAATAATGTTAATCGATGAGAGACTGGGAAAAATCTCATTTCACGTTGAAAACACAATGAAGAAGGAGGTTGCTGGATCTGGAGCGTTGTTTCTATAGTTCCTCCACGACAAATAAAACAATTATTTCGCAAAACTTTCTATTTTTTTCCCTACCAATTTTAGTACGAGAAAAAAGCAACAATAAGGCGAGCATCTTCATTGTTTAATTTAGTTAATTAATGAGCGCTCTGCGAGTGAGTGAATTATTGGGAAAGTCTTGGGAACTGGTGCACGAACGAATGGACCGTGGCAATTTCATTTCAATTATGAACTAAGGAAACGTACTACAATTATTATACAATTGAACTTTCAAACTGATTCATAAATATAGTTTTCGTAATAAAATATAAAAAAAAACAAATATTACACTAATTCAATTTATTTTTATATAATTCATTCGAATTAGGAGATTTCTCTCTCCGCATGGTTATCAACAGGATATTCAGCGTTCAGGATATTCCATTAAATTATTTCCGTTTTATAAGAGTGAAAATCATTTATTAAATCTTCATCCGGTGCTAATTGTTATATTTTATTGTTTTTAAAATAAACATTTTTATTTTTCGCAATATTTGTGTTCACAGATTTTCCGTTATTGACTAATTGGAGTTTTTTTTATAAAGTATTAGGAAGAAGGTAAATGTCAATAGATATTATTAAAAACAGGACGAAGTAGATTTCATTAAAAACACAACAAAATGTCATTGAATTTCCTGTAAATCAACATTCATATTGCATAATTCTATAAAATCCTATATACAATAATCTGTTTTAAATATTTTTGATAGCTTTGTTAAAATTTTATAAAAATTAATGAAAGTATAATACATTAATACCATTGTATGTTTTCCATAGGCATTCAAGAATAGTTACATCTCGTTAAGTTATAATGTTGTTGAATTGAAACGGTAGTTATTTATAGGTCTCAGCAGTTTATTTACAGTCTCACGGTTCAGAAAAGGCTTTCGTTTTTTAATCTGCGTCTTCGGGCATCTGTTAATTTACCAAAATGCACATAAGCAAAACATTTTCTTCCAAATATAAACATAAACAGTGTTTGTAGAGAGTTCGCGCCGTCATCACCTTTCGAATCTTGAGGAACGCATGCGCGCGATCTTTAACAATAGGAATAAACTGGATGAAATCAGCCCCAATAAAATTAGTTTGTTATTTGCCTTTGATCGTTTTTGTTGATTCGTTTTACATAAAGTGTGTGTACTGATCATATGTGAATCATAAATTATTTTTAATTTTGCAAGTTTATCTCCAAGGATTTTTTTTTCGTAACAAATCTATAAGGTAAGAAATAATTACATTATTTTATAACAAAATTATTCAAAGTAACTTTAACTAAATTTTAGTTAAATTCTCTTGATTTTATAAACAAAAACATATAGAGAATTTGTTGTATAATTAAATGTTTTGTATAGTGGAACCTGGCTTAAGAAGTACCTCGCATAACGAGCATTTCGCTTAACGAGCAACGTTTCGCATAACGAGTGACGATGAGAAGAGAAGTCTCAAATTATGCGTCTGCTACACATAATATGTGTACTTTTGAATATATTTTACTATACCAGTAAAAATCCGGAAATTTTAGAACGGATTAAACCCCTTAAGCGAGATTCCACTGTATTTCATTTTGTTACTTTAAAAGTAGTTTTCTTACTTAATTCATTAAATCGTCGTAATACTTAATATTATAAATTAATTAATGTTTATTACTAATATTATTTAATGTTATAAAACAAAAAGAGTTTGTCAGAAGTGGGATTCGAACCCACGCCCTCAGTTGAGGACCAGAACGCTCACCGACCTGTTTGACAGGCAAGGTATAACCTTGAGTCTGGCGCCTTAGACCGCTCGGCCATCCTGACATATACGATATTTAGTGTAAAAGGATTTGAGTATCAAGTGAATTTTTGGATAATTCAATAAACAAATATTTATCTACAAATTACTATAAAGTATACTCACTACTGATACAATTACATACTTTTACGACCTAGATACAATAGCTTTTATCTAATAAATGTATTTTTTAAATGAATTACTCAAATATCCAAAGTTCATTTTTGTATTGTTTTCCAGTTGTAGTAAATGTGTAATAAGTTCACACTTCAAATTGTATTTAAATTTCTACAATTACCATTTTTCGGACTATAAGACGCATCATTTTACATAGAAAAATGGACTCAAATTTTGGTTCGTCTTATGTTTTGAAGGTAACATTAAAATATTTTTTTAATAAATCGTCTCTAAATTTAAGGTATGTCTTAGAGACCGAAAAATATGTCACGGTAAATCTTTAAAATTTATATTCTAAAATTAGAAAAAATGAGCGTAAAAGAAAAAATAAACATATAACGTGAGGTATAAAATAAATGTGATCAATTATGCAAAACAATATGGAAATTAAGTAGCAGAAAGATAATTTGATCCATCACCAACAGATGAAATGGTTCAGAAATGGAGAAAACAAGAGGAACAATAAAAACTGTTAAGTAAAGAGAAGAAAACATTCCGTTTGCACTTAGAAAAATAAACTCAAATTTTGGATGCATCATATGGTCTGAAGATAACATTAAACTATTTTTTTCAATAAACCGTCTCTAAATTTGAGGTGCGTTTTATCGTACTATGAATTTTATAGTCCGAAAAAGTCGGTAATTAAAATTTTATAAACAAAATAAAACTTCAACTTTGTACAGACGCGTATAAACAAAACAAAAACAACTGTAATTTGATTTTACCGTACGCAGCAAGTTTAAATAGAAAA